TTCAGTGTACATCAACCGACTAGATGACTTATGATGAACAACGGCCTGAACCGAACGTATGATGATTGGAAAGGTAAGGAGTTCAGGGTATCTTGTATTTAGATTCTCAAATTAAATTCGTGAGATCTTATTAATATCGTAGTCTTTTCAACTTGATAGAAATAAAAGACATTGTCTTCCTTAGCACCTTGTCTAGTCAGTTTATGCACTCCCTTGTATGAAAGGCGAGTTTAAAACTTGCCTCTTGTCCCAGTCTTGAAATTGCTGGATATATAGATAGTATAATTCCTTCTACAATAGATATATGCAAGATGCTCTCAAGCTACACTTTCTCATAGAACTGAGCTTACACCGATTACCCTGACTGCGTTTCACTCATGGGAATTCTTATGTTTGGTTTCTTATTTGACTTAGATGATACCAAGGATGCATACTCCTTCTAGGTTATTGTTCCCTGTAAAATTTTCTTCGATCTATACGGTATGTGGTTAGACCAGTAATACAAACAGATTTAGTTTCTTCTTCTGGACGAGAGTAATAGATGTCGAGTAGGTGCACTTACAGAATGCCTTGGAAGTCAGAGTATGAAGAAATATTGTCCAGACCTTGACGTTATGTACTATGAAGTGAAAGTTATGGACATACGTAGTGATCAACATTGTGCAAGTGAAAATCTGAGAGGAAGACTGTGAGAATGTGGTTCTGGAAGCCGGTGTGATTACTGTATTCGACTTATCGTTCTGGTCGTAATAGCAAACGGAATGAACATCGTACAGAAACGGTTGTCCGTTTGACGGGTATGTGACTTGCTTGACGTCATGTACTTACAGTTACTGCAGCCAGTAGTTTGGCAGAAAACAGGAATTAAAACTGCGTCCTTGCTTCCTGGTTAGTACGATATCCTCTTCGCAAATCCATATATCTAGCAGTACTGTTGGAAAGACGCGAAGAAGAATACGTGGAATGTGCTTGTCTCAAAACAAAAATTCTGATTTCCGAGAGTGTAGTCTGAAGACTCTACCCGCATCAACCTTTCATGAAAACCCAATCATGAGATTTGGATTCGACCCGAGATTATCTCACAATACATCAGCATACTGTAACTAGCTGCCAGCAGCGCCTTCGTACGTACTAGAGTCAGACCACAAAAGGCCTGATAGAATTATAGTAAAAGATGCCACTCGACGAGGGGGCAGAGCAATAATGAATTTAAATGAGAATCTCGCCAAACCAAATTCCTGAGCCATTTATGCGCACGTTTAGTTACTCGAATGAACTGTACGTGGTAGAATATGCAAGTGTGATAGTGCACATGCAACAAAATGTGCAACAGTTTCACATTTGACGTTCTTGACGATGATTTTCAATCGCTACAAGCTTGGGATTCTTTCTTAAGTTGAGACATTCATCGACTCGCTTAGTCGCATGCCATCTGGGTAGGATGAGGTACAGTCCCGATCGTTATAGCCCTTCTCGGTAACAAAGGGCGGTCAACTCGTTTGCAGGCGCATTGGACAACTCTCAAACAGCCAGCCCCCTGTAGAAAAATTTGGTGATATGTAAGTGGAAATATCCAGCCCACTAGAAAGGAGTGAATCAATCTGAAACGTGAAGAATCTACTCGATACCCTCCGACGCACGGAAAAAGCAATGTGCACTCTACCCCTATAATATAGTAGCAGTCGGTCACCCCTTTTCAGGACGCAAACCGAATTGCATCAAAATCTGAGTTCAACATTTTTGGACGAAAAAAATAAATTCTCGTTCATATTTTCATGTCTAACAGATTAGAATTATAGGAATTACTCCTATTCAAAAAGCATAAAAATCAAAATAACATTTGGTGTGCTATGCTTAAAAAGACAACAAGTCGATGCATGGGATGGGATAATCAGAACGATGGCTTCGAAGCAAGGACTGGAAAAGCCGTAGAACTTCAGGGTATAGCCAGATGATCATCTCATTTTGAAAAACAGACCGTGAATACCGTAGTCCCAATGCTATACTCCTAGAGAGACAGAGTAGAAGGGTTTGCCCGGAACACGGCTGATGGACAAATGACATTTGCCACGTGCCAACCACTTGAGCCGGTGCAGCGGATTTGGACTCGAGTAGAGTCTCAAACCGACTGAATCTTCGTGGATGACAAGACCAGTTCACAAGAGAAAAGAAACATCCTCTTTCTAACAGCATCAGTTTCAACCTTGCACAGAAGTCAATGGTTCGCAGCCCATTCTTTGGAAGCTCAAATCAATTTTAAACATCCACTTGCGCAACAAAGGTCTTAAGACCACATATCTTGACCCACCTTTGGCCACGGAAGGAACCAGAAATAATATCGCCTGTGGGCGACGATGCCCGGTCGATTCCTCATGCCGCTAGCCCAACCTTGAAAAGTACATACCTGTCATGAGATCCTCGGCGCCGTACCGCTCTGGTCCGACTGTAGCCCGAAACAAACGACTACGTGTGAATACGACAGCGAGCGGGTTCGGGCTCTGGAGGAAGATGAGCCAGACGGCGTAGAGCAGCGTCCAGAACGACTGTAGCTCTGCAACGGGATCAAGATTCAAGGCCGTGGCCCGTAAGCTCTTGTGGAACCTAGGAGTCGAGAACGGAGGGCGCGCTTGTTTCTCGTCCACTCTTTCCTTTCACTCTACCACGGGCTCCTTTTCACAACCTCTTTCCTCTGTGTGGCGCACCTAGACGTGGGTCATCTCGCTCGTCCAGCGCTCCAGCTGTTGACTAACACCAAGAAACGCAGAAATTTATTGTATCTATACGGCGTCTTTCCTGAGCGAGCGTGATCGCGTTACGAGTGATGTACCAGCACGAAGAAAAGCTGACCACTCTGTCTCCGTCAAGACTTCCCAGTCTGAAATGGCGTGCTGTCATCGGTTTTGTTTATGCCAAATCAGCCCTTGCGTTTAATAGGCCACGAGTGCTTTTCGTGCCCAGCTAGAGTTTCCGAACTTGGTGCTCGAGAGGCCGGTCACGATAAGAGAAGAGAGAGAGAACTTGAGTTGAATCCTGTTTTTTCGAACCGGAGATTATCGATGCGATGCATTCGTCGATAGTGCACTGGCTTGTCCTATGGCCTTAGACTTGACGTTATGCTTACACAAAGCAGACAGTTTGAAATATATTGTATCAACGGTTCTAGAGGTTTTACAGGTGAGAAACAAAGTCCAGTTCGCCCATCTGTCTTCCTCCTGACAGTTTTCCTTCATATGGTGCCTAGAGCTAGAAAAACTAAGGGTTAGCTTTAAGGCAGGGGGCAACCTCACGGAGTGCCTATTTCCTCTTACACGCCCACTGTCCCACTTGCAGACCTTTTGACTCTGGCAAATGTCTACAGGCTTAGGGTTCTCTTGTGCGCTCTGCGGTTTATCTCCTCCTTGAGGTTTCCCGTCTTTCTTGCCTGTGATTTATAGTCGTTGGCTCCAGTTCATGCCTCTATTGTGGCTTTCATCTGCTCTCTATCTCATGACAGCTCTACTATCGATCTCGTGGCTTTCTTCCAGATTTGCCTCTTTAACTCTGCGTTCCTTCACCTTTCGTGGCAACACTATATTCTTCCGTTTCCATATGTGAACACCATATCGTGCTTCGATGGGCTTCTGGTGACAGAAGTGGCAGCAAAGATGCAATAATGAAATGAGAATGACAGGACTTGACACTCCAGTAAACGAAATGGTACTCATCTCTTTGCGTACAACACACAGATCTAGTAACCTTCAGATAGTTGACTAAAGTAAGCGACAGCTGTCCAAGAACTACGATCGATAAAAGAAAACAGTTCAACTGCCATCCTTCTTATAGCAGCCTTTTCCGGTACTGCGAGAACGGGAACGGCGCTAAATTTGGATCTGTATAGCGGTACGTCTCAGTGCACAGTAGAGTCCACACGGAATCCGACATTTAGTTTATTTTATTGTCGTTTCGTCTGTCTTCTCGATCACAATATAAAATCAAGTTGATCATCGAGTCGAATTATCCTGACGATCATCCGATAAGGACTTCTAGTACATAGATGCGCAAGTTTCGAAGCAATTTCATCCACGACTGGCATGCTGGCTGTGCCCAGACCGTGTTCGATTCATGCGCTCGTAAGTTTTCTGTCAACTTTTCTAACTTTTCTTTAGGTTTGGCACGGTATACTCCGAGTAACGTGCAGTTCCAGACCTTACCACCCAAATGGACAGAAAGCTCGTCCTGTCTACAGAAAGTTCTACTAATAACTTTTGATGGCCGAGATGGCCGACCTGTATACCCTGTGCCATGTATCCCAGCTGGGAACATGAACTAAGCATTGGTGGTCAATTCAAGGTGCAACCATCTTTGAACCTGCAGCCTAAGTTTTTGATTTCATGTAGTTGTTCTGATAGGCTTAATGACACCTAAAAAGTTGGAAAGTACAAGACAATTGTCAGAGCACTGTTAGCTCCTGTCATTTGTACTCTGACTGGGGCACCTTCAGTATGTGGTAAGCTTCCTGATATTCTACGTGTCCATCCGAGCTCGTCCACAAGACCGTTTAGATTTATTACAGTGATCGTGTCTATCGTCGAGGGTGCTTAAGAAGATGCCATGGTTAAAGACGTAGAACTCCAACTGGTCTGCCTGAACTGAATAAAACTTGTCTAGCACAACCGCTACAGCGAGTTTCGGGAGGACGCAGCCTGAGAAGCAGAAAGACCTCTGATCAGGTGTGTCTATGCATAGTGGACGTTCAAACGTTGTTGTATGAATTGCATAACCATTGTTTTTGGCTTTAGTTTCCACACCTTAAGCAGCTGAAGTAGTGAACCTCTGATAGTAACAGGGTTCCCAAAAAATGATGTTCTTCCGTTTCTATGTTATTGATAGAGAGTAAAGACCCAGCGCATTAAATAAGTGGAGAAAAGTAAGATGAATAAAACTCAACTGAACGTTGGCGAACACTTGCGAACTGTCACACCTGCCCAACTTCTGCCTCTCAGTATTCCACTGAGATTGAGAGTGTTAAAAAAATAAATGTATAGAGATAAGGAGAATTACTTCTGAGAAGAAATACGTTGTTTGATTGTCGCGACGTATTACAGTACTTTAATCCCACTCCTAGTCCAGTAGTGTGCAAAATGATTGCATGGCTCCATCGTCGCCTGATTGATAGAACTGTCTCCAGCATGACCGCAGTTGCCCCCTACGTAAACCCAGTCGAACATGCGTGGATAGGATCGGACAGAGAACAAAATAAGTATGGAAAGATCAGTGGTCTCATCGTCCATGACACATAATCGACCAGACCGCTTTCATATTATCTCTTCCCATGATCATATTTGCTCTGTCCCATCTGATATTAGATCTCAGTATGTCCAATGCACGTAAACTTCTTCACACGGGGCCACCGTTCCTTTTTCCAGGGAGGGAAAAGGAGAAACCAAAAGCAAGGGTCTCATATTTGGGCCGTTGAAGTGTGGGTGTTGTTTAGAAACCACAGAACGTTCGGATCGCATCTGCTGATTCACCATCTAAGTTCCATGTATGTTCTGTGAGGAAGAATGCAAGCAGTATGACATTACTGGCGATTCAAGAACTTTGTGTTCTTGGCATCATTCATCATTTTCTTCTGCCGGCACAGGTCATACCAAACTCATAACAGAGTCCACGCAAGTACTTCTTACGTGCGTAGATACGACTAGAACATATCTGAAACTAGGCTTTCTGAGACACCCGTCATCACCCTAAAATGATTCTGGGGTATACATTACTCATTTTGAGAAGTTGTGAGAGTCGTCATCGGTGCCTAATTTCATATAACAAAAAGAATAAAATAAATGATGATAGACAATCTCATGATACGATCTCATCCATACATTATGTATATCCTAAATTACTTGAATTTGTAGAAGAAATCCGACCGTGACAGACTTCAGGTAGTGAAAGAGTGATATTGCCATGAAACTCTTGCAACTGAGTCGGGAACTAGGATGCTTTTAAACTGCCCTGGCGTTGCTGAGGCAATTGGAAAAAAAACTGCGGATTTGATATCATGCACAAAGAACAGAGAAGGACAAAGACTGTGATTGTCTCGCGTGGGATAACTCATTTGGAGCACCTAAGACGGTACCTAGCTCAGTTCTTTTAGTGAAAGAGTATCCCAAACAAGACAATCCCTTTTTGTCTTCAAATCATGAATGTTCAAAAGGGGCAGATAAAGGCTGATAGTTTTCTATGAAAGAGGCAGACAATTGGCAGTGAAGTTGGCATGTTTAGTCTGACCTCCCCATGGAACATCACGGTACCTTTTTGGCGAAGTTTTATCAGCAGAGAACGGATGGTTTTTTCCAGTCTGCCAGTCAATAAAGGCCGGTTCCACTAATAAATTGTGCGCTCCCAGCCATTAGGAAGCCAGGATTCCGATTAAGTATATCCGGCCATCTCCATTTTGTGGACACTGCTGCTTTTTCTTTTCAAAAAAGGTCGTTAGGCACCCTCTGACGTTCTGTAGGGGTCGATTTAGTTGAGTTTACTTTCTCCTTTTCATTGAACATGACAAAGCGAAGGAGAACAGACGAGCAGGAGCCAATTCAACAAAAGCACTTGCAAACAAAAAAAAAAAGAGAACTGTACTCATACTGGCGTCTGAGGATTTTGTTCATTTGACAAGATCTTCCCTCCTTCCGACCCACGAAATATATCTGGTGGCAGGAAAGACGGACCATGCAAGATCAGTCGATTCCATGTCATTCCATCAAATTTGATTCTATTCCAACTCCGAACCACGAGAGTACGTAGTTGAAATGGAGAGCAGAAAGGTGTTCCTGGAGTCAATGATGAAGGAGAGATCATCCTGACTGCTATATATACTTGTACTTCTGTTCTGGTACTTTTACCAAATTTGGGGCGAGCATATGTTAAACTTACGAATCAGACTGCACAGGCAAGCAAGAGCCAGTAGATGCCGGCCTCTGACCTCAGCATGGCGTGTTGCAGGGTGCTATGTAGTTGTACCCACCTTTCTTTCTTTGCCAATGTGAGGATCAAAAGGAAGGGCAAACTGTGACTTCAGTGAGAACAATATCAAGCGTCTGACGGCGGAATCACACAAAACTCTCGTGGTTTTTTAAGGACAGAACTTGTGTCCTTGCCAGAGAAGATGCAGAGAAGTAGCTTTACACCTGCTCTCCCTCCTCGAGAGATTTTGCAGCACGCTTAAATTTGGGAAAGGCTATAGTCGTCTGCCGTCTTCACAGCCACCAGATTAACTCCAGCTTCTTACATAAGCTCAGTACTATTAGCATATTTTTAGCGAGAGTATGATTGCTACTATCCAGAAACTATCATTTGTCCTGCCTCGCTAATCTTACTGGCTCACTTACCTCGATTACTTTGCTATTATTTTATTTCCATGTTTCTTCGTTCGAGAAGTTCTTCTCCTGCGTAATTAGAAATACTGTCGTGCCTCCGTTTCCTTCGATGACTTGTGTGGTGAGGATGAAACGAACGCTCTCGATTGGTGATCAGACTGTCTCTGGGCCTGAAAAGTTTCGTTGTGTGAAGCCGATACTCGGATGGCCTTCAGATGTACAGGACATATGCCACTAACAAAACTGTTACTGGATAGTTAATTCGCAAATCCTTGCGTTCACTCATCGCACAAGCCCACCACTCGAGCAAGGAAGCGAGGTTATTTTGGAGGACAGTAGTGATAATTTGCACGGGTCGTCGACGCACCACCTACCTGGCATGGGAGGTTGTGCATAAATTCTCCTTGATACTACTGGTTTAGCCAAAAGTACCCAATCATCACTTCAATTATAAAAAAGCTGAAATCTGGGTCCATAATTACGTACCATGAATGGAAATGACCTAGACCAGTGACGCTGGCGTTCCTGGTGAACCAACTACAACTCTTTTCGCTTGACCTGTAGGAAAATCAGTACGGGGGGAGCCAACGGCAAGAACAATGTATAGCTTGAGCTTGGGAAAATCACGGGTACGGAGAGCTGGCGCTGCGGTGTGCGCCCACACTAGAAGAATGGGCGCTAGCCGCGTTCTTTCCGTCTTCGCCATGTCGTGTTCGAGAGCCATCCTTCTTGTCCGTTTGTTGCACCGTCCATCGCAGAAAGAGGGAAAAGAGACAAGTCTACTCGTAGGTGCAGTGGACTGTCTAATGGAACCATCATTCCCTGCCGGGGTTTCAAGGAGGATGAATCCAACCAGCTCCGATCACAAGAACGCACCACTGTGTGATTTGTCTTCTTGTCTCACCTGGTTCCTGCAGTTCAGCTCCTGCTTCTGCAATGGAGCACCCACACGATGTGCAGAGAGAGCAGTAGGACCGATGTTTTGGATTCCACCTGCACAAGTTAAATTCTCGGGCGCTCTCCTTATATCTCCTCACAGCTTATCATCGAGCACAGGTGAACCAATCCCCGAACAGTTGCAGCATGAATTATTTAACGTCTTGTTGATAGATTGGAATGACCGGAACGAATTTGTGATTGGCTCGAAAATCTCCAGATTCTTTTTCTGAACCCTGGAAAAAAGCTAGTAGATTCTAACGGTACCTAAAATATCTAAGTCGAGTAGATGTGTAGCTCCTCAACGTCCGTCCTGTCAGCGACGAGTCCGTTCACACACAAAGCTTCTCACGTCGGAGTCATCGTCGCCTGGGTTGCTGCCAATTCCCCCACTGTCAGCCATTCGCTTCCTTTTGATCTTTTCGAAACCACAATATGTAAGTGTTATATCACCTACCACCACCTGACCTGGTACCTACAGTACCATTGTCGTCGGATCCTTGTCCTGCCTTCTGTTCAGGCTCTACAGTAACAAACACCCCACCCGTCTTCTTGTTCTTGTTGAGGCGCTCTGACTGACAGACATCCCCCCACAACTCCCGCCCTCTCGCTCGCATGCTCACTGTGGAAATTCTTTTTCAAAAGCTCCATCACTACCGCAAACAATTGATTAGGCAGATTGCGCATCGATGGTGCACTGTCAGCCGGTAACTAGGCTCCTCGGCCCTAGAAGTTCGAGTGCCTTCGACGTCTCCGCTCGATGCACCCGATCGAATGACACGATCCCCGCACAGAATTGTGCGAGTGGCTCACTCCGACGACTGTCTGTCTGTCGCTTCCGGACCTCAGCAACGTTGCCTCAAACCCCCCCGTCCGCGCCTCAGACGTGGCTCCGGACATGCAATGTTTTGTTCGCTTGTTGCTGCGTAGCTTACTTTACAGAATTCCTACATTCTCGTCCTCGATGTGAAGCCATCCATATGTACAGGTTCTCTCTGTCTGGATCAAGGTCATCCATCACTACAGTTTCGAATGTCTTCTGATTTCCATGTGGTTCGATTCGTTCGTTACTTTGTCCCCAGTTAGGTCATGCGTGGGGCATGTCCGCTACGTCTGCAATGTCATATGCACCTTCGCATGTCCTGTTATTAGGACAAACATGTTTCTTGCTAACACATCGTTTTCTGTTTCCTTGCACGAGAGAGAATGTGCTATGATCCCATCTCAGAGTCTCAATACAAAATTACATATGTGAGGAATGCAACAATGCAATGTTCATGTGTGTGTCATAACGCGATCCTGCCCGGAGTAAATCTAAATCGCCAAATACCTGAGGTAGATGAAAGTAGTTGAAAGAATGAAAACTAACAACATGGAATTGAAAAAACAATGAAAGAAAGGAATTGGTGAAGGAACACCAAACAAAAGAAAGAGGCATTAGAACACATTCACCCTAACCTGCACACATGAAAGGGCGATACAAAATAGGAAGAGAAAAAATCTGCAATAAGATCCAAACAAAGTATTTGACTTCGGTTCAAAACATATGGATGGTTCGAAAATGACTATTAAGGAAAATGCCACCCATAAACTTTTGTTTCCTCAAAGTACGGGTAACAGGTCAGATTCCTACAATGTGTGCACTAGTCTGTAACAACCTCCTCGTCAAAATACTCATTTCATAAAATCAGCACCCTCATCAATTCGCACGTGAAGCACAGTGCACGATCCAAATACCACCATCGAATCGATAATCCACAAATATCACAGTACAAATCGTCAAGTTATAACCCTCACAAGCGAATAATGGAGAATACCAACTCAGATCCCATGCAATCTAACATTCATAGGAAATCAGGTTGCTATTCAGGACAACAACTTATTTCTCCCATTGAATATCGACAATGACAATATATTGACAACGCAAGAAAGAAAATATTCTAACTTGCAAATTTCGATACCATATTGCTCACTGTCATTCTACTTGCACCTGATATATGGTTGCATCTCTTGTACCTTTGTGGGTTTATCAGAGGGTTTTACATAACTACATATGATAATACACTACACAACTTCTACGTACCTCACAAGTGGTTCAGTAAGAACTCGGATCGAATACCAACATAAAAGAACATTAACCTTGCATTACTTCCATGCACGTGTACGATTTCTCTCTGTACATACATTCCCGGACTTAAATATAATAGACTCAACGTAATCACCAAAAATCCCACACAAAAGTCCGCTCAAAATCTAGATCAAACACATATGATAACCTTCATTATTTAATCTAATATAACAGTGGATTTGGAAACAAGGCATCGACACTAAACATTCTAGATGTAACCATATATAAAACATTTATGAACTAGCAGATAGATTTGTATGTCTAATTGCCATAAGTGGAGGACACAAGCCATCATACAAAACACATCCTTCATTCAAAAGTTCTACTGTCCTGCAATTGTAGCAAGAAGAGCACATGAAGATCTATTCACCAAAAACATTTCATATTCTGCCCATCTTCTCACCTTCAAACTCAATTCATAGCCATCACACTATTTAGGTGTATTGAATATTTCATTTCTTCGCTTTGTGGAGTTTGTTTCTTTCTTTCAGATACAATGAGAAATCACAAACAAAGGAATGACTCCTTGGATTTGCACCTATCAACTTGATTACTTTTTTCCTCATTTTTCCTCAGCGCCTTAGAGTTTCTTACTTCGGATAGGAGATCTCTTGTCTAGATTGATGCCTAGTGGATAGCAGATTCTATCCACTTGGCCCCAATTCGGTCTCCACACACCAAAAAATATGGTTTGATGTCATGCTACATTACTTTCTTCTTTATTTTTTTCTATCCTCTTTGGGATGTCTTCTCATCCAATTTGATATCAAACGAGTTTATCTTCTTCCATTTGTTTTCTCTTGTCTCTCTTTTTCAATAGAACGTTTAAGAATAGAGAATTCATGACGATCTAAGTAGAAAACCGTCTTTATGTTGGAAAGTGTAAGGGCGGCCCAAAATATCGATGTCTTCGCCTTTTTTAGAGCAAAGTCAATAACTTTGCCAATATTTCAAAATGTGACTTCGCATGTTCTACAAAGTGATGATTGATGTCATGTTATATATGTTACTAGGCCCCAGTTGGATTTTTATTCCCTTAAAGGTCCAATAGCGCATAGGCATGTACTCAACCTTTTTCAAGCAATCTTCTTAGGGTGCTGTTTTCCATCCAATTATTCGACACGTGATTCCCTTATTGGATTCTTCATATATGTGCTTTAATCTTCATATGGAACATGCTCTCACTTGGATATCATTGTACTTTGTACTTTGAAAAGTCGTGGTTTCAAGGACCATTGTAGATTGAAACTGAATATAACCGTTACCACTACTGAGTCTAGTTGTGAGAACCCCTCACTTAAACCCGAAATGTTTGGGTTCACAAGGCCCTTACTAGAGTTATCAAGATACAAGGCATATCATGTAAATGAAATCGGTGGCCAAAGTGTTGTCCCACTACTCAAGTGCTTCCTCTTCAGTTCTATAAATCTACGCTCTTTGAATTGTTTACTCAGATTTCAGAAGATTTTATCCAGTACATAAATGATGAATTTCATCTTACATGGATAAAGGGAACTACCCCTTTGTTTTCATTCCTGTACGATCCTCCTTGCTATCTTACTCGCTCTCGATTCTTTCTCTTACATGGATTGAAACTTACTAAACTGACCTCTGCCGCAATTGGCTGCAAACTGGAGTACTGCATGTGTTGCTGATAATTTTCCACACAAAGGTTTATGTCATAACGGATTCGCTGCTTTGGGTCACTCTTGCACATCGTACATCACCGAGCGTACACAGTCTTATTCTTTGAGACCGACGTGGACAACTAGAATTCGGATGGCGTCATTCACAAAGCATCCTAGCCAAGACCATAAAGTGTTTTCGACTCGCGAAATTCGTGAAAACTGTGGGTGGTAACCCGTTCTGTTCAAACACGTTCTACATAGAGTTCACTTGTTCCCGAAAGGCAATCACCTGTCCTTTCCAGTTTCTCTCCTGAGTCATCATCCCAACAAGATTACAGAATAATCATCATTGTGCAGACTGGAAAGCTTCTTTGTCTAGGGTCCACATCCTGACCGTGACTATTATAAGGGTGATTATCCTGGAAAGCAAGTTTACCTTGTATGTCAGAGGATTGCTCTCTCTACATAGATAAGGAGGCTTATAGTGACCACTTTGCAACCAGTATACGAAAAGCTCCGCGCTGGAGCCTTGTTAAAGCTCCAGCAAGGACCTTTAACAAAGTAGTTGGACAGCCTCAGAAGAAACTCGATTTCGTCTAGTCCTTCATTGTGAACGGCCCTGCAACTTGTTATTGCGGTCGAGTTTTGTTGGGAACCACGATGATGGACTATGTACAAGACTGAACCCAAGCTTACAGGTCGTTATGACGTAAAGGTTTACATGAACAATTATCCACAACGCATGTTGTACTGCAGCCACTCCGCAGAGTGTTTTTAATTAAGTTCAAATCCATGTACGAGGGGTGGCATCCTTCTTTGAACCGCTGTGTTATCTAGTCACAAGATATTCAAACAAGATTCTTATGTACAATGATCCAGTACTCAAGCGTTGTGAGTTGGAAACCCTTGTCCACCCTATCTTAAGAGATTTCTTTGGCTCTAGGTTATTATAGCATTTGTTGACAAGACGAATGCATAATGTAGTAATCTTGTTCTTTCTCGTAATGCACTTATAATTTTAACCCATCGAAGAAACTTCCAAAGACCCTCTCAAATTTTGAAACGAGATAGAAAGGGTTGCTTCAAAAAGCATCAATGAAAGTGAAAATGAAAGATCCAGCTACAACGTACTGCTAGGTAGGATATGTAAAAATATTCATGCAAAAGTATGTAAGTAATATAATTTTTCTTGGCTATGAAATGTAAAAGAATTCTTGTGCTCATCATATACGTTTCATGATAGTCAGCGCAGATATCCAAAAGAATGTCTTTTAACTAAATTAGAATCAAAAAAAGTTTCACAGGACCACACTACATGCAAAGATTGCCCATCCTATGTTTGAAACTGAACTCGAAATTCTACAGTGAAATCTGAGTGGATAACCCCAAGGAGAGAAAACTTTTGATTCTTGATCGTCCATTGTGGTTTAAACTGGAAACAAAAAAGGAATCACCTGACAAGAATGACACCGGAAAATTTTAATTAATAATAAATAATGAAAAAGTTCAGCAAGATAAAATCATTATGCAATATGCAAATGTGACCGATTTCGATTAAAAGAATCAATAAGGCAGAGGCCCGCCACGCATCGTTGTTATATCCAAAGGCCTATCATTTATTAATACTCTTACTAAGAGTCCACTTGCTAACCCTGCCCAGTTGGGGGTCACAATGCAATATGTAGACTTGACCAATTTCAGTTAAAAAAATCGATAAGGCAGAAGTCAAGTAGGGCCGCCAAGCCCGCGTTGTGTGTCCGTTATATATACTCCTCCTACGTCCACATGCCAACACTGCCCAGCTTGGTATCATGCCCACTTCCTGTTCCACTATTGGTACAACTTTCTGTTGGGCAAAACTGTACTTTTTCTTGGTTGTTTTAAACATGTTGGGTATACAATAAATTGCTCTTGTATGTTAGGGATAGCACACAAGTAAGAGATACCTTGATATCGAAAAGTCAGATGAATGAATGTATCATGGAGGCAGCATCTTGATATACACTGAAGCTGTATTGCAACAACCCGTATTACGAAAAGAGTAATCTCGAGCTCAAATCAGCCAGTGTTAATAACTCACATCTTTCATACTGATATAAGAAATCAAATGGCCTAATATACATTTTTCTCTTAGTCACCGTTCTTGAATCGAAATATCCATTCTACCGGTTCAACGCATTGTAGGCATGTTCAAGAGGTTACTTCTTCTGAGTCGTGACTGCAGTCAAGCAATTACTCGTTCTCTCCCCTTTCTTCTGACGTTTGTCTGTTAATCGAAAATCCTGTCTGTAGGTTTGGTCGGTGTCCTGTTTGTGATGGACATCGATGATTTGAGGGACAAGAACGTGCGGACATCCAGACCGATGTCTGTGTTAGCTCCACTAACACAGACATCCACTGTCTTCTTCTCAAATATAGGCTAGCAGTGAACTTTTAGGATACCAACACGCAACTAATGTTTCCCCTGTATATAGTGCCCATGTCTGTCCTCGTTCAACTGACAAATTGGAAAGATTGTGGAATGTCTAGTAGCCGTCCAAATCCAAACATTCGACCCGAGATAGATGAAAAACATCCGCATTTGATGTGGCACCAGGCATGAACTTTGGAATAAACTGAGGGTGGTGTCACTGACGGTTTCGATCTTAAAGAGTTACATGAGCTCAGATGGAAGAGACCTGAACAAGTCAGTCGAACTGTAGAAGACAAAGTTCACCTCACTCCCTAAGTGACCAGCATGCCTCCAGTCCACTGCAGTCCAGGCCAGTCTCCATGGAAGAAGCTGATCATGGTGCAACTCGTATAAATAGCTTGTCGTAAACATCACCCATAGGCTCCTTCTTTTTAGGAGCAGTATGAGCCTGAACATCCATTTGATCTGCAACACGAACACCACATGACAGACACTACTCAAATCTCATGCAGTAGTGACATTCCAGTCAATACTCGTCCCTTTCTGCATGAATGATTTTGAGATGGAGGAAAAGCAGGCAAGTTAAGTAGCCATCCAGCTGGATTGCATAAATGACATTCTTCATCCCACTTTGCAATCTTGGATGATTTGATTCCTTACATACAGGGGTGAGGTGATGTGAGGTGAGGTAGGCTAATTGTAAGGTGAACTGGTCCAACTGTAATGGCTTTGGATCGGTTCCCAAGTCTACAAACCTCTGTCTGCTCTTAGTGGTCGGAAGGAGAGACCTCTACAAGCGAGGCTAGCTTACAGTACCCACGCACAGATGTGATGTTTTGTACTAAACCACAGGCGAAAAAGAGTAGAATTGTACGTTGCCGCTTCCGCCATGTCATGTCATCCCGAACTCCTCTAATGAACATGTGAGAAAGAAGAGTTCTCGACACACCCTTTCCGTCCCCGCTGACGTCACGAACTCTACCTGCTGCTTTTTGTGTGCTACCGTAGTGTTGCTTCAATTCCATCAACAGCAACTGTTCACTAAGTCGAGACGGAGTATACACAGATAGGTACTCGCTTGCTTGCCTCTACCGGACTGGATTTACGTTACACTGTCTATCTATCTTCGGTTTCATATGAAATTCATCTTTTTTCTCGCCTTAATTCCTCAGGGCTCGATCTGGATTCCTGCAAGCCTGCCCTCACCTTTCGAGTTCTGACCTCGCAAGATCTACGTGATCAGTCCTAGGTCCTAAAGCCTGCAATCCTTCGAGTCCCGCACTTTTCGAGTCCAAGCCTAGCGCGTGGGAATGGCTTGGTTCTGTCAAGGAGTACGATCATTCAGCTGCTGCTGCCATGCCTAGGTACTGCAATCACATCGTCTCCTTCCGTCCCGTCCGCATCGTGTGCATGCTAGTTACGAGGCATCCGCATTGCCCGCACAGAGCTCAGATGAATCAGATTTAGGGTCCAGATGTCATCTGTCAGAGTAAATTTCCTTCCCTTGCTATTGCGATTGCTCTGTGGTCACAGACTGCAGCTCAGCTCATCAAATCCGAGAGTTACCAAGACTTTTAGTCACGCCATTTTGGCAATATTGTCTTCACAGTGGCTTTTAGAGTTACAGATATATTCTTATTATCAGAACGGCTCCAGGCTCCAGATTCCAGCTGGGCACCTGGCATTCCTCTCCTCTCCCCTCCTCTCCCCTCCTCTCCTTACGCGCATCCTCTACTGTAACAAACCAGCAATCCACATAACCAACCACAGTGTCCAGAGAATGAGATCACACTGCCCCTGGGACGGGTACGGACAGAAACTCGAAAGCACGGAGCGTTCTAAGAATCTAAGGCTGCATGGAAACGCAAACGTCTCGATCGGGGAGCCCCCTGCCGGCCAGTGTGCTGTACTAGGTGACCGCCTCGGGCACGACGCGGTAGATCTGCCCAGTTCCTTGACCGGCTTGCGTGTTGGCTGCGCATCTCCGTAGGTCCTTTGCCTGTCAGTTCTACCTCGGACCGTGGTACGTGGTCCATGCCGTTTTCAATATGCCGTATGTCGCCTACAGAGATGGGCTCATTTGGTCTGGTCCGTCCTTTCCTTACTTCCAGGCGTACGCGATCGTACTCACCCCCGCCGCTCCGAACCGCGTCGACGTGAGTGGTACGCCGTGTCGACGTGGCGTGGACAGTGAGCAGTATTGACGCTTCCGGTTTTTCTCCGCGCCCCTTTTAGGACGCAGTCAACCGGATTCCGGACCGCCACACAAGGCGGCGTGACGGAAACACTGCCTTGTACACGCGTCGACGTTGTCCGTCCGCATAGCGCGATCGATTCTCGTTGAGGTTGTCTAGAGGTGGCTCTTACCCACCGGCAAACCATGTAGCCTGATGGAAAAATCCGCTGTCGTGACGATGACGGTCACGTTCGAATATCAGTGGCAGTCCCAGTAGTCGAGAAGGAAGGTGGGCCGGTAGGTGAGCATCGGCATCGCCGAGATCCGAATCAATTGTTGTTGTGAGAGTTATTTGGCAGTCGCAAGATCTGAACGGACGAAGTTGTATAGTAAATCGCATCATCGTTGGTGAATCATGATATCATAAACGTCATTTTAACAACAAACTCCAAATTCTGCTTAACATATTCACGAATGTGGAGGCCCTGGTAGAAGCACAATATATCATTAGAGCTGCTTGTACAACACAGGCCGGAAGTTCATTATCTTAGTTCGCATATAAAAGGGGCCTTCAAAGTGTTTCGATCCGATGCTGAGGGAGGGATAGAAGATAAGAATAAACATATAAACCTAGACTGATCTCAAGACTATTCTCACTCGGGCCAGTCCTTGATGCTTCCGTAAGATAGGTCAGGTCACTGTATTGGTTGAGACAACCTACCACCCTTCACAAACCAAAAAAATGGTGATCGTTTAGAGCGCCACTTGAACACAAACTGAGCAAGAACGAGGTCAACCTCCCAGAATATTCACATACGATATGATGCGCGAGGATATATGATGTAATGCAATCTTAAGCCTCAGAAACGATTTCACATTCATCTCACCAGGGGTTTAAGTTAAGAACTGTTACTTGATGCTAGCTTACCATTTCTCCCTCTGCTAAGCAGAGACCTAAGAAGGCTTTTGCTACGTGCAGGACCAGCTCGCATATCTTTATCTTTATCTGATTCTGTGAAAGTCAACTGTGACACTGAGCGTTCCAGTGGAGCAGAAACCTGTAATTCCAAGGTGGGAAGCCAGGATTAAGGTTCAACCAACGAGACCTGGTTACTCACAACGGATCGATTACGATCATGCAGCCAAGAGGAGTTCCACGCCAATGGCTGTCTTCAAGCTTAAACTTACTACTTTCATACGACGAAATCAACACATTCACCCACACACACAAACAGAGAAAATATTTCCCTTGAGTGAGTTAAGTATCACTCATGTATCATGTCAACTACCGATGTCACCTCACCCTCCCTCAAAAAATAAACACCTCTTAAAATTTCAGTCTCAGGAATTTCAGTCAATCCGGCCCCTTGCCGCACTGCAAACAGGAACACAATCACCGGGAACCTATCTTGCGGTTCCGATTGTCCCAACCAACAATCCAGGGCATCTCATGCGAATTGCAACTTTTCAGTCTCTCGGTATCTTTGTGATTTTGTGCAAGGGGCAGCAAAAGCAACATCTGCTGCTCCTTCTAACACTTCCACAAATTTGCAAATGCATTAGTGCACCTAAGACTGTTGTCCCATTTTGCCCAAGGAATCCAGAGACCGGAAATTGCTGCATATAAACAGCTTCTTTAACAGTTGCTGTTGATTGAGTAGCACCTGCAAAGCCTTTCACACACAAAACAACACCACGGGCTCCGATATTGCTCATAAGACTTCGCACCATCCTTCTGTAACCACTTCTTATCATCTGACCTTTCACTCATGCTGATTATAGACTTATTAGGTACAGTACTCTCTCGTTAAGAAAGGAATATAGATTCTCAACTACGTAAGCTGAGATTTATTTAGCTATCAACAGGTCTAGGATGAAACGAAGAAAACTATTAATCAGATCGGGAAGCCAAAATTTATTGATGTTTCGTATCTTATCAATTAGTTCGGCAGTTAGTACTTGCTAGCCTTCCTTAACTTCAGCACTTCACGTCTAGTACCAACATAGACTCACGATGTACGGTACTATAGCAACTTACACAGTTGGTCAAGAAAGTCTCACAGGATGTAAATGCGACATGTTAAGACAGAGCACAGATAAAAACAACTACTGACCTTCCCATTAGTACCAAAGCTTTTCATTGACGGCCTCCTTTCTGTTGATTGTGATCTTGCAGGAATCTTCTTTTCCGGAAACTTCGGTACTGATCTCGACCTTTCAACTGATTTCGATCGTGCAGTGAACTTTGATGCTAATTTTGCTCCCCCGGTCATGCTCAAAGGACCTGACGTTGAAACTGAAGAATCTGTATCTGGTCCCAAAAAAACCGGTGTCACTTAATAAGCAAAGTCTCCAAGCTTGCAAGTTAATAAGACTCAAGTAAATCAAATGACCTTACCAACATCAACCACCGCTCGTTTGACAAAATGAATGCCTAACAATCAGAATGGGTGTGTATTCATGTAGGGGAGTTCGTGCAATATGCAGCTTTCTTACTAGGGTTTGATAAGAGAAAGGAACCTCGAGTTAACGAGATATCTCGTTCCCTCAATGCAGAATCCGCCAGCTTGGTGCTGCAATGTGGAGGGAAAATTTATCAGCGACCCATGAACACAAAATCAAACGTTTGACTTCATATATAAGTTTCCAGGAGCTAACACCTCACTCGTCAGGTAGTTATGAAACAGGTTAACTGACTGAAGATTTAGCATCCGTCTATATAACCATATAGATGACCAACATATAATATATAGGTACAAACAGATGTTAAAACAGTACACGATTTTCCCTGCTGAAAGTCTACCTTGCTGGGCCACTTAACGTGCTGCTCCCTCCGTTGTTGGCAGGTGTCCGATCGACAGCAAAATGCCAAGCCAAATTTCTAGAACCACTTGAGCCTGCATCACAAATTCTCATCAAGACAGACCTATTTTACAATGCATAATAAAAGAATATATAAGGAGTTGCAAATGTCCACAAACTCTTCCCATTATGAACCAGATAAAGATGTTTATTTATCTTAGGCAAAGAGTGTCTTGTCAATGGCCAACATACACATTTCACAGATTATGCGCCACATAGAGCGCATAACAATGATGAATCAGCTAAAAGATACGAATTCCTAGCATAGCCACCATACCGTCAGGCGTCTGTCCTTGTGACTGGAATGGGTGTATCTGCTCAGGATCAAATGTCTCCCTTAACATTACCACGTCCTGTTCAGCAACTCTTTTAGCAACCTCCGCAGTAGCATCTGTGGCCCTTGATTTACATAAATCCACTGGTCAGATTCTCTAATGGGAAAACTTTTAATCAATATACTTAAAGATGTCATCAAGTCAGATGAAGGGCCTTCAAAAGAAATCTCAAGATAATATTCGATTCTTGACCTGGTAGAATGTAGTGCTTATGATTAGCTTGTGTTGATTTAGCCAGCGATTGTTGTTTCAGTCCTTCACGATCAGAATGTTCGTGGCAAGAACGAAGTCTCTACAACCAAAACCATCAAGGCTTCGAAAACTTAAACCTTTGCACTTTGAGATCACCAATACCTGTAGATATTGCAAACATCCTGACCTAAACTTTCCCACTTCAAGGTGTGCTTCGAACATACAATTTTATATAATTGGACCATGCTATTCACTGGTATATGCCTGAAGCTTTTGCTATGATGGCCTCAGAGGACCTCTTATCTAAGAATGATCTACCTGGGTTAGCGATGCTGATCTTATTTCAATGGAGGAAACTTCCTCAAATTGTTGAGACATTAGGTCGTTCAACTTGAACGCAACAGTTCCCAGGTGGTCCAGTGAGTTGACGAGAGCCTTCACGGAATAATCTTTCAGATTGTCGAGGACCCTTAAAAAGCAACACACAGACATCTTCATTAATTGCCAAATTGCCGACGACTATCTCCCAATACAGATTTGGCGACTGCATCGTCCTGATCGCACAGATGAATTTTCTGTCTACCTATCACAGGTCTTTCTTCACGGGCCACAGAGGAGATAATATCAAGTACATGTTAGGTCATCGGAAGCTTTCGCAAACAGAAGTTAAGATCCAGAGATGCGTACATTTGTTTCTGGTCATTGTAAAGGTAGGATGATTCACAGTACTCTGCAGCTGAGTAAAGTTGCGATCGAAGGCTTTTCAGTTCCTGCATCATCACATCAATCGGTCATTGTTTGTCCATAGAATGGCTAACTCTAAATCTTGACACATCCTGGCGAGATAAGACATCAGAATCAAACAGAAGCGCAAATTTCAAACACAATTTGTGTGTCAGCTTCGATGTGTGGAACTGAAGGACGAATAACTGTGGCTGGAAGTCAACATGCCTGTATTTCTCACCATCAAGCCATCCTATATATGTATATGACAAGACGTACAAAATAAAGTACCATTTGAATCGTAGAACTTTGTATCATGGATTACATGTCATGAACAAGCCTAGATATCATGAAAAGAGAAAACTGATGCTTTCTTGTGTATTTGGTTATTTATAATATGAAAGAGCAAGTTGGGTCTATGAGCAACAGTTGATTGATTGAGACCATTTGCTCTTTATCAATGTTGTTATTATGTACAGCTAAATCCTTGTTATAACTCGAAACTAACAGTGATCTTCTGAACTTCTCCAATAATTAACAGTTCTCCAGCCATTTCTTCGACTTGCTTTATTTTAAACTATGCATCACAATGGGTAATGACGGACAAATGACGTAATGACGGATAGAAGAAACTTTAATAGCTCGGATAAACACTTCAAACCGAAGCCATATAAGAACAGATAGATCTCACAAATTCATGGGCTTCAAACCTAGTAGCGATTGAGGAATTGCACATTCTCGAGTGTCATTCAAACGCTGTGTTATCAACAGCAAACAGACTTTACAACCCAGATCGGAAGTACAATTGCTCTGGAGGAAAAAGAAGCAGGGAGGGAGACAAACCTGCAAAGCCATAAGGAAGTTATGACTACGCTGCATAGAAATGTCGTCATAGCTGAATGATGACTCCGGCATCCCCCTGTCCGGAGAGCCCTCGTCAGGCATATCTTCGTACTGCATCGTCAGTTCCTCTCTGAACCTCTCACTTCCTCTCTTCCTGATTGCTGATACCCCTGATCGATCTTCTCCGCATCTATTTCACTCACCCTCTGCCCCTATCCTTTCCCTCGCTCACTGCCTGCTTCGTTCCTGCTTGCTTACAAGTGCATTCTGTTGCTTCCTGTCGTTCCTAGAAAAACATCGATGCTCACTCTTCACGATCCGATCTTTGGTTCCAACCGAAGAAGCTGCGCAAAGGGTGTAGTCAGATCACGCCAATTCCGTGATTCGTGAGAAGTCCATTCCGGGCAGCAATATTCTTATGCCCAGCTCTATCTACAGCTCGGACCAGCTCTTCCGCTGAACTGGAATCGACTGATTTGCCGGTTTCCGCACATTCTTGCCATGCCCTTCTCCTCGAGACTGGCACCCTGCTTTTCCACGTACTCGCACGTACTTAGTGGTCCCTTTTCGTCGTTGACTAAAGCTAAACCCCCATTTACTGTAAGTAAACAGGATTCCATGTTCTTACTGACCCTAATTGTTCCACACAGATCCATAAACAATGTGCTGTTTTACTCTTAGTGTTGAAACTCAAATTAACTAAAATGGTCTGCAATCCACATTTACGTTTTAAGGAAGAAGTGTTCGTCCCGGTCTTCGGCTTGATTCTCGTGACGCGTTTAGTCATTGACTACGTTGACGTGGAATAATGATAGCTTAATGTACACAGCATGTTAGAGCGAGAGGAGATTTATTGCCAGATTCTTTTCTTCTTCTTGTGACATAGGATCTCCAGTTTCATTGTGGTTGTCTTCGAACGAATATGCAGTAGAAGAGCTTAAATGCTCACAATATGAAATCCAGTGAGCAGTTTGGAGAAAAACTTAGAAAGTTCTTGGATTTAGGGTACTATTTAAACTACGATTTACATGATGTAGTTGTATCAATTTCGAGAGCTCATCTCGAACTCTTCAATGTCCCGAATCCTTTTTTATCGAAACACAAGGAAAGGAGAGAACGAAGACATTGCTGTCGGGTGAGTTTGGCAATTTTTATTTCAAGATATATCTCCATTATTTCATACAAAGAAAGATCTTTGTTGTCAACGTTATGAGAATTATTGCACTAAAGAGTCTAGCTTCGAACAAAGTATGTACCCTAGAAGTCTTACGTAATGATTACTCTTCTATGAATTTGTCTTGGATCAAAAGTAAAATGGATGTAAGGGGAGGCGCTTCAAATAATTCCTGTGCTTTCTATCAAGATTTGAACCAACCAACAATATTGGATTATCTTATTCCATCTTAGGAATTTTTATATAGTATGGCTTATAATATTTTAGATTATCATTGCCATTACTTGCCTATATTCATTTGAAATGCTACTAACCTTGTGAGTCAGAACATAGCAATCTTCGTGTAAAACAGAAAACTTTCACATAGAATATATTATTCAAAAGTATAAGTTTTAAAATTTTTTAATACATTATTTTTAAATTTAAATCATGAACTTTTTTAATTTAGTGATTTATTTTGATAAAAATTAAATAATAAAATAATCCGTCACTTTTCATATATAATCTAATATAAAATTTTTTCATAAATATTTTCTCAAAGAAAGCTGAATCATGCTCAAGTACATCGATAAAAAAATCTAAACGCAATTGTCATGTGTATGCACGTTAGTGCAATTGCAGATCGACGTAGGTGTCGATTTGAGTTCAGACACGTTGGATTCGAGTGTGAGTCGGGTGACGTTGGGAGTCGGCTAACGTTGAGACGCGGAGCGTAGGCTAGATCGATTTTCCAAGTTTATATTCGTGGCGAACTCGAAGAACTGTCAGTTCTTCGAGTTGAGCCTTACGCGTCGGGGTTTTTCCCCTTAGCTTCGACTTTTAGTCTACCTACGAGTAGTGAGTTTGGCTCGACTCTTTGTGTATTTGTGTTTCGACATTTTACTCGAAGAACTCACTTCGTGGCCTTTTGCAATTATAGTTTCAGGTTTTGGTTGTAGTGGCAATTGCTTCGATTAGATTTTATAATTCAGGTTTTGGTTCTTGCTTCTGCGGATGGGATTTCTGCATAAGAACTTTCGTCGTTGGGTGTTGATTCGTGCGATGGTGATCAGACGAGGTGATGAGGGGAAAGCGTGACGTAAAATCTGTGCTCGTATCCTTGAGTGAGTGCATAGCCAGTTGACTCCTGCAGGGCACGCTTGTGCGGGCATCGCCATCTTGGAACAGCCGTAGAAGCAGCCGACATTTGCGATAAGTCTGAACTGATGTAGGGACGACAGCTACCAGAATTTGGATTGCTGACGTGGTGGTTGTCGCCTGCGAAGGAAACGAGTGGAAATGAAGGTCCTTGGTGGAGCTTACAAGTCATTCGAAATGGATCGAGTAGATGGTGTGAGGAAGACTCGACGAATTCCCACCAAAGAAGCATCAAGGCTATCGTGAAGCATTTGCGGATGAAGTCGTGGTCAAGTGTCAGATTACCTGGTGCAAGAGGCATAATCCCGCAAATCAGTTATGTACTTTCTGAGAACTAAGCTGTTATGCGTACCATTTAGTTTTCAGAGGCAGTAGATTTCCTTGAATCCATTCGCCCCACATGCGAAGCCATTCTTGATCGTCGGTTCATCGTAGCTACTCCGTGCACGCATTTGGGCACTCGACTAACGCCCAAATGATCCAAAATGTATGGGTAACGGGTTATATGCAGTATGTTTTTGATAATTGATATTTCCAGCGCAAGTGACAAAAATTCGTGAGGGAATTGATTCCGAAAAACCTGGATGGAGACTGCTCTCTGGACTTCTTTGAAACTCTTGATCGAAACATAAGAGTGCTTGCGCATGCTACGATTGATGCAAAACAATATGTACACAGTAAGCTAGCTTAGTGATGTGAACCGGCTAGAAGGAAAGTGTCTGAACAGCTTCATGCAACCTTGAGCTCTGGATTTATAAGCATCTTCTTCATGTGTTCAAGTTGGGAGTTTTTTTTTTGTGACATAAGTACATACATCACTGTTCCTTACACCCACCGGCAGACGTCAACAGCACAAAAGGTGTGATGTCAAAGGAAGGGCAGCTATCCGGAATTCGGAAGACCAACTCTACTGAATTGAATCAGCACAATCCGAATGCAAGCATTTTTCTGCGAGATTGTTATAGGCATCCGGTGACGGAAAAGAGAAATATACGTACATGGAAGATGTGATTCGCGAAGAAAGCCGGTTAACTTGTGCGCTATAGTCCATTACTTGAATCTTCAAGCTGGATTTCTGTGTAGATCTAGATAGTGGTGGGCTCGGCGAGCTTGGCGAGCTCGGCATTAGTCATCAGGAGTCGCTACAGGCGTGGAAGAGAAGGAGGTTCTTGAGTTTGCAAACTGAGACGGCTAGCTGCTGCTGTTTCAGGTTCTGGAATGCTGGATATTGACAAGGCTACAACAGTGGAAAGAGGTAGGTTTTGAGGCAGTATACTTGTGTGTCTAGCAGTTGCTGCTCTTGGTATGGTATGAGCACAGATACTGGTGCACGTGTAGATAGTTGCTGAATTGACAAACTGAGAGTTTCCGAGTCTGGAACTGGTGTTATTATGGGAGAGTGTTTCATCTCGACAGTCAAAGCATTTGGTTTTACAGGTGATGAAAGCAAAGTCGTCGATACAGGGCTAGAAGATGGCCACATTCGGACTGGCATGCTTGCAGTTCTGTTTAACATTATTCCAGGTCTGGTGGTTGAGAGTATAGGCGATGGGTAGCTAGGACCAGATCTTGTTTTGGTGGGAGTGTTAGTGATTTTGGGTGAAGGCTTTTCTGGAGTTGAAGGAGCAAGATCGGATATAGAGATAAGAGAAGATGTTTTCTGGTGTGTCGTGAATTCAGGTTTAGTTGATCCCATTTTAGTTACAGACATTGACAGTTTAGCAGTGAATTTTACTCAGAGTACAAGTCAAATTTGGGATACTTGTGGAAGTGATATGACGAAATAGGAAGTTGAAACTTGAGTTCAGTCACTTTGCACAATTTTGGACAGCGTATAATGTAAGCTTTCTTGTATAAAAATTATTCTCTAAAAAAAAAAAAAGAGATAAAAAATAGGAAAAAGAGAAAAAGAGAAAAAAAAAGAAAAAAAGAGAGAAGAGTAGTATTTTGAAGAGATTGAGAAGTTGCACTCTGTGTCACTTACTATGATTTTTTGGTTGTAAAAATATTGATTTTATCTCTATTTCTTTTTCTACAGGAACAGTTAGGGTAGATGGATTTTGGTTGCATTTCTTACTCCTATTTGGAGTTATGAGGTGGAGTTGTGAGGCGCACTGTTGGACACCTCGATGTGGAGACTATCTTGGCGACTTAGTGGAAGAGGTGACATTGTAGGCGTTGAAGACGGAAGGGTCGATATCATCTTTGCGACAGGATGAGCGAGATAGCGTTGCAGGCGCGAGAGGCGGAGGATGATAAGAGGCGATGGAGTTTGACTCGAGGTCACGATGCGAGGCGATGTCCCGTGTGTTGTGTTGTTCTATGATGTGTTTCATTTCGGCTGGAGAGTCGTTGCTAGCCGTTTTTCTTGAGTTTGGATCCTCTCCAGTCTGGCTTCTTGATGCGCGCCCATGTTTGGGTTGACGTTGAATTCCGGAGTAGTTTTACTCCAGTGTGCTGTCGATAGTGCGGCTGGATTTGATCACCGGCGCTATCTTTGTTTCTCTCATGGTGAGACTGGAGTGATGACCAGTGGACCATGAGAGTCTTCTTGCGGTGATGACAGGTTAGGTTGCCCATACCCATAGTCAGTAGGGCTAGAGCAGGTTAGTGCAGGGACGAGGGCAGATGGAGTTGTGGCAGTGGTGCCGGTTGGTGAGTCAGTCATCACGGAGGAGTTTGGTGGTTCCGTTGAGGACCGTGGAGGATTTACGCGGAGTGGGTTGAGGTATCGGCTACCTCATCCTAGCGCATCAATGGTTGCAGAGGCGCGGGGTGTGGCAGAGAGCGGATCTTTGGTGATGATATCATCTAGGGTCCCACACTCGTGGACTGGGGACATGGACGGTATGTTTGGGGCCATGAAGGGCCCACGGCGGCACTCTGGGGCAGTGGGCACCATTGAGTTGGATGATTTCATCCAGGAGTTTGACACGTGGTGCGATATGTAGTTCTTGCGTAACCCCACGTTGTTTACACCCTTCTTTGCATGGAAAGGGTTGTTTCAGCATCTAGAGGTGCCTCCCATGGATGACTACCATGAGTTTGGGAGAGAGTATGCTGTGGAGATTGACGCATGGAGGCGTCATTGGTCTCTAAACTATACATCGATCACCCAGGGTGGTGTTGGTACCATTGGAGGTGCGAGTGGTAGCATCACCGATGGTACTAGTGGAGCAGGTACCACCAGCGGTGCTGGTGGCGTTGCTAGCACG